ATGGCTCACGCAGGAATGAATGAATGGCTGGGCGCTGCCTCTTGATTTATACTTCAGAAATTCGTTGGTCTGCCCTTTGCCATCGGCCCTTGGTGCTCACAGTCCCCCTGTGGTACTTGCTGGACTGGACTGGGACTCTCTAGACYCTTCTGCTGACTGTAGGCAGTCGTACCGTCGACTCAGTGCAGTTGCACTGAGGTCCTACCTGTTGACCTTGCCACTTGTCTTCGTCTGAAAACGTGGGCCTCCCTTAGACTCACCACTTGACCACTTGCAGACCTTCTAGAAGGACTACAGCTAGGCCTCTGGACTCTACTTGGATTCCTACCTTACAGGTCTACAGTTCGAATCTCCCTACAGCCTACAACCTACGGTGACCTACTTACCACTGGCTATCGTGCAGGTCACGGGTTCAACTCCAGGGAACTGTGCAGATACTGTACACAGGTAAGCTGAGGTCAAGGGATCGACCCCTGGGATCTGCATCGGCTACTGCCAAAGGTGAAAACTGTTTCACTATTCTGTCTATCAAGGACAAGAAAAAAGATCGCATCACTACCTCATTCCCCCGAATTAAACACACGGTCATTCTAGCGGGTATTTGGGCCATCTTTCGGGTCTAAGTACAGCTATAACGACCGTGCGTTGTATTCGGCGGAAGAAGGTAGTGCACATACAAGTCAACCTTAACTGGAAACTTCGAATCTTATCATTAATCCACTTTATGATTAGTCCACATTATATGATTAGTCCACATTATATAATTAGCCCATTATATGATTAGTCCAGCCTATTACTAGTATATGATTTGTCCATGAGCAGTCACTGATTCATTCACATTTTCCATGCCTGTAAGCTTTGAAGCTTGCACTTCAGATGTACGGTATGTCCGGCCCGCACACAGAGCGCACAGCGCGCACACACACACAAGGTTGGTGTGAGTGAAGTCGGCCCCCACTTTGCTCTCTCTCAGGGGTATCGCCACCAATTTTTCTCTCAGGGGGGTGTCGCTAACTCTGGGCAATGCGGTGAGTCCTTATCCATCAGTCAAATGCATCCTGGGCAGACTGTCTGTCCAGGTTCAACCTCCTGATGACTCGGTGAAAGTCCGACAAAACAGTCTGTTTGGCACAGTCATCCTGTTTGTTCTTTTAGTGCATAGCGAATATGACAACACACACCTACTCTCTCTCACACACACACACACACACACACACACACACACACGGACACAGACACACAGACACACAGAGAGACACACACAGAGAGACACACACAGAGACACACAGAGACACACACACAAAGACACACACACAAAGACACACACACACAGGGCTCCTATCGCTACGGTGGGATGATGGCTAAGGTGGGCTTGTTTCTGTTTACTGCCCCCTGAACCTGGAGATTATGAAAAAAGGGTTGAAAACACCATTCATTGATTTGAAAGGTGAAATGGACGAGAAAGGAAAATTGGAGATGAGTTAGTTCAGTGGTGGCGTAGACAAGTGCCTCTGAAAAAACTTTGAAAGATGAACCGTTTTCAAGTCGCATTAGGTAAGAAGAAGGGGAAGAAGAAGAAAAAAAAGAAGAAAAAAGAAGGGGAAAAAGAAGGGGAAAAAAAAAGAAGAAGAAGAAGAAGAAGGGAAAAAAAAAGAAGAAGACTGCTGTTGTGCGATGTGAGCTTGTTTGTTTCATGTGAGTGATGGTAGAGCATCATTACCCATGGGCCTCGCTCCACTACCCAACATTACTATATGTATCTGGAGCTCATAATGGTCAAAATAGATACAAAATGTTGGACTCCTCTGAATGCACTGATCCCGAAAGGCGTCCAAATGCATGTACAATGATGAGTATTGGAGCGAGGGCCCATATTTGGGCTCTGATTACCAAGTCTCGACCATTTTGAAATCCAATCTGCAGAGTTATATTTGTATTATTATTGATAATAATTTGATATTCAATTGGGTCTGCTCCCCTCCTGCCTGGTCCATCCTTCTCTCTTGGCTGTTCCTGACTGGAGAAGGCTGCGTGTTCCCCCCCCCTTGCAGGATTAGGGTTTTCTGACCCCATTTTGCAAGCCTTTCCTGGATTATTGGGGTTTCTGAGCCCATTTTGCAAACCCTTCCTGGATTATTAGGGTTTCTGAACCCATTTTGCAAGCCTTTGCTGCAGGTTGAGGGTTTCTAGAGCCCATTTTGCAAACCCTTCCTGGATTATTAGGGTTTCTGAGCCCATTTTGCAAGCCTTTGCTGCAGGATGAGGCTTTCTAGAGCCCATTTTGCAAACCTTTGCTGCAGGATTAGGGTTTCTAGGGCCCATTTTGCAAACATTTGCTGCATCATTAGGGTTTCTGAGCCCATTTTGCAAAGCTCTCCTGCATTATTGGGGTTTCGGAGCCCATTTTGACAAACCTTTGCTGCAAGATTAGGGTTTCTAGAGCCCATTTTGCAAATCGGTGTTGCAGGATTAGGGTTTCCATAGCCCATTTTGCAAACCTTTGCTGCAGGATTAGGGTTTCTAAACCCACTTTGTATGATGTTCGTTAATATGGTGTCCACTGTCCACTCTATGAATTGGTGGCAAGTTTGGTTAAACGGGCCTTTGGGTTTTCTTATAAGTGGCATGACAAATTGTCTGAAAATTTAGGCCTCCGGTAACCATCTCTCCCATTTTGCAAAGCCTTTCCTGCAAGATTAGTTTTTTTTTTAATCCCATTTTTTGCAGACCTTTTCCTGCAAGATTAGTTTTTTTTTAATCCCATTTTGCAAACCTTTTCCTGCAAGATTAGTTTTTTTTTTCCTAATCCCATTTTGCAAACCTTTTCCTGCAGGGTTTGAGTTTCTGAGCCCGTTTTCCGAAGCTCTTTTGCATGGGCTTTTCACTCCAAATCGATTCGGCCCAAAAAAAATGGAGGAAGAAAAGATTAGGGTTTTTCTTGCCGGTGGTCGGTCTGTGTGTTTTTTTTTTCTTTTTTCTTTTTTTTCTTTTTAAGAATTCCCATTCATCTAGTTCTATCTGGATTCGAACTCAGCTTTTCATTCCAACAGTTCATGGGTGTACCAGCTGAGCTAGGCCCGTTGGTGTTGTGTGTGTTTTTTAATGCAGCATCCATGACCACACTTGGCATTGACGAAGAACTAGATCGGCTCTGTGGGGTCCAAGGGGCAACAAATCTCCATTCCTTGGAAGATACGTCATCATCATCATCATCATTATCATTATCAGTATCATTATCATCATTGTCGTCTTCGTCAGAAGAAGATAACTGCAGTGTGGCGACCTTTGCCGACAATGCTGACACCTTTTTGAATTCGTCAGGCGGGAACTGCACTGCGGGGGCGAGATACAAAATCTTGTCGAGATCACAAAGGGATGACAAATTGCATACCAAAGCCCAGAAAGAGGTGTTAAGTCTTCAAACCGCTGATGAATGTCACAAAACTGATGACTTTGGCAAAAAAAGTGGCGACTTTGGTGGAAAAAGTGGCGACTTTGGCAAAAAAAGTGGCGACTTTGGCAGAAAAAGTGGCGACTTTGGCGGAAAAAGTGGCGACTTTGGTAAAAAAAGCGGCAACTTTGGCAAAAAAACTGCAGACGTTTGCGAAAAAAGTGCTGGCTTTGGCAAAAAAACTGCAGGCTTTTGCAAAAAGACTGCGGAGTTTTGCAAAGCGCACGAGCATGAGCTTGTAGCATCTGCGAAGATGGAGGAGGGCAATGGCGACGCCAACTTGAAGAAGCACAGCCCAAGTGACAAAAAAGCAGAAATGCATGCGGAAGTGCGACAACAACACTCGCAACAGCAACCAAAAATGATTCAGCACGCCGCTGCTGGTTCTCCTGATCCTGGGAGCAAAGAAGATCATTTATTTGTGACGTCACCTCCTGTATGCTGGCAGGCTCAGGAGGAGGTGCGGCAACAAGAAAACAAAAGAGAGGCTCACGCTGGTGGTCCTTGGCATGCAGTGCCGGCAGCAAATAAACAGGGAGCAGCAGTGCAACAGGAACAGATGGGATTGCCTCTGTTGAGTGCGTTTCCTTCGCAGCAGCAGGAGGAGGAGGAGGAGGAGGAGGAGGGGGGGAAAGGGGGGGATAAGTTGTTTCGGTGGTCCATTGAAAAAATTGAGCAAATCGTACGTTTTTTAATGCAAATCATGTATGTATGTATATATGTTCCTGAGAAATTCAGAGAGATTTCCTGCAAAGAGATAAAAGGTTTTGGTCCTTTTGAGAGTCCTTCAACAGATAAATGGAGTCCATGTGCATGTTGCTTTTGCTTTGACCACCTGGTATATTTCCCTGCAAAATTTGTCATTTGAAGTTTGAACCTTTTGGACAACTTAATGGATGCAGAGTGTAGGCATGTTGCTTGCTTTGCAGCTTGATACAGTTTACACATGTTTGCCTGTTTGCTTTTTAGAAGTAAAAGTAATAATAAATAAATATGCCACATATCCCAGAATACTCCAATGACACCAGCTTCCAATGAGAGACTTGGTAGCTTGTAGATGTCGAAGAAGCTGGAAGCAATCAACCAATCAACCAATCAACCAATCAACCAATCAACCAATCAACCAATCAACCAACCAACCAATCAATCAACTAGTCAACCAACCAATCAACCAATCAAC